CCTAATGAACACAGATGCAAAAATCCTCAATAAAATATTGGCAAATAGGATCCAGCAAATCATCAAGAAGATTATACACCATGACCAAGTGGGATTCATCCCAGGAATGCAAGGATGGTTCAACATACGTAAATCAATAAATGTAATCCACCATATCAATAAAGCCAAAAGTAAGAATCACATGATCATTTCTATAGATGCAGAAAAAGCCTTCGATAAGGTCCAACATTCATTCATGATAAGAACTTTACAGAAAATTGGAATAGATGGTCTTTATCTCAGTATAATAAAGGCCATTTATGACAAACCAACAGCCAGCATCATACTAAATGGCCAAAAATTGAAAGCCTTTACTTTAAAATCAGGCACAAGACAAGGATGTCCTTTATCACCACTCCTATTTAATATAGTACTGGAAGTACTAGCCAGAGCGATTAGGCAAGAGAGAGAAATGAAAGGGGTAAAGATAGGAAAAGAAGAAGTTAAGTTATCATTGCAGATAACATGATACTCTACATAGAAGACCCCCTAAACTCCATTGAAATACTCTTAGATACAATAAATAAATTCAGTAATGTGGCTGGATACAAAATCAATACTCAGAAATCAATAGCATTCCTATACACTAACAACAAAATCACAGAGAGGGAAATAAGAGAAACCACACTCTTCACATTAGCAAGCAAAAAAATGAAATATTTAGGAATTACTCTTACGAATGAAGTGAAAGATCTATACAGGGAAAATTATAATACACTGAAAAAAGAAATTGAAGATGATCTCAGAAAATGGAAAGACATCCCTTGCTCATGGAGAGGAAGAACAAACACTGTGAAAATGGCCATTCTCCCAAAACTGTTATACAGATTCAATGCAATCCCAATAAAAATACCATCAACATACCTTATAGATACCATCAACATACCTTATAGCAAAGGCAATTCTAAGCAGTAAAGGCAAGGCAGAAGGCATCATAATCCCTGACTTGAAGTTATACTACAAAGCAACAGTAGTAAAATCAACATGGTATTGGAATCAAAACAGAGCTGAAGATCAATGGAATAGATTAGAAGATACAACCACAACTACAAACACACTCAACCACCTTATCTTTGATAAAGGAGCCAAGCAGGTTCACTGGAAGAACGACAGTCTCTTTAATAAATAGTGCTGGAAAAACTGGCTCTCCATTTGCCGAAAACTAAAGCTAGACCCATGTCTATCACCATGTACTAAATTAAAATTTAAATGGGTCAAAGATCTGAATATTAAAACAGAAACACTAAATCTATTGGAAGACAGATTGGGTAGAAACCTTGAAGACATAGGAGTAGGTAGAGAATTCATGAGCAGTACTCAAACCGCACGGGAAATACTTCCCAGAATCAATAACTGGGACCACTTCTTATTAAAAAGTTTCTGTGGGGCTGGGGATTTAGCTCAGCGGCATAAACGCCTGCGTTGCAAGCGGGCAGTCGTGAGTTTGATCCCCGGTACCGATAAAAAGGAAAAAGACAATAAATAAATAAATAAACAAACAAATAAATAAATAAATAGTTTCTGCATGTCAAAAGAAATCTCCAGCATAGTGAAAAGAAAACCCACAAACTGGGAAAAGATTTTAGTGAACTCTGTCCCAGACAAGGGACTCTTGTCTAAAACATATAAAGAATTTAAAAAACTCAGACCCCCAAAATTCAAAGATCCAGTCCAAAAATGGGCATCTGAGATGAATACGCACTTCTCAGATGAAGAAATACAAATGGCAAATAAATACATGAAAAAATGTTCATCATCATTGGTTATTAGAGAAATGCAAATTAAAACCACACTGAGATACCATCTCACTCCTGGAAGAATGGCCAGGATCAAGAAAACCAACAACAACAAATGATGGAGAGGCTGTGGGGAAAAAGGAACTCTCCTAAACTGTTGGTGGGAATGTAGACTGGTACAACCTTTGTGGAGGTCAGTCTGGAGATTTCTCAAAAAGCTAGGATTGGAAGTCCCATTTATTCCATCTATTCCACTTCTAGGCATATTCCCAGAAGAACTGAAAGCATCATACCACAGTGATATATGTGCACCTATGTTTATAGCAGCACAATCTGTAATCGCCAGATCTTGGAAACAACCCAAGTGTCCATCAACTGAGGAATGGATAAAAAAGCTGTGGTATTTCTATACAATGGAGCACTACTCAGCTATAAAGAAAGATCACATTGAGATATTTATCAATAAATGGGCGCAGCTTGAGACCATACTCGTAAGTGAAATAAATCAATCTCGCATGTGTGAATACCGAATAGTTTCCCTAATGTAAGTAATGATTCAAATATATAAAAGTATGTGGTAATCATGATTCCTCATTATGTGGCCTTGAAGCCTTATAAAGTTTTTACTTATTAATTGGAAAGGCCTTATTCTGGGCTTCTTTTATTTTTATTTTTTTTGTCTTTTTCGTTTTTTTATTGGTACCAGGGATCGAACTCACGACTGCCTGCTTGCAAGGAAGGCACTTGTGCCGCTGAGCTAAATCCCCAGCCCCCTGTTCTGGGCTTCTTGATATGGAAATATTTGAAACTATAGTATGTGAAGTTATATTCAAATATTTCAAGGAAAAAGATAGACACTATGGTAACTACTATTAAATCGGGTTATTTGGTGGTGAAGCACTAGATTGCTGAAACAGTCATGCTTTGACCTGTATTGTTATATTGTTATGTCCTCTTTTATCTCAATCTCTCCCTTATTCATTAAAAAAATTATTTAGTTATTTTTTATGTTTTTTTAATTAAGGGGAAAAATTTTAAAAATTAGCAGGATATATTATAGTAACTTTTTTTGATTTCCTATTAACTTGTTTTGAAGTCCTGTAATACTCCCACTATCTTGTTTTGACTGATTAGACTCTGTTCCATTCTGTATGATAGCATTAAGTTTGAGAGTATAGGCAATTACTTTGAAGGCAATAAGATTCACTAAGATGCCCATTCTGGTTTGACTATTGTCTCCTTTGGAAGTCCTGTAATGTTTACAATGCTTAAGTTTTATTGGTCTTGTTCTCTACTGTTTTGTTCAACTTTATAATAGCTAATGAGATAGACAAATTTTTTAAGGAAACAAGAGACATTATGGTAACCATTGTTGATAACCTTGTACTCTGTTCTTACATCATGTGCTATGTCTATCCTTGGTTTTGACTGACAGCTTTGTTTTGCCGTATTTGATTTTATTCTCTTCCCCCAAAAAAGTAATAAGAATTAAGGAGTAATAAAACCCAAAATGTGTAAATTTTGTTGTAAAAAAGAGAGGGGAAAAAAGTGCTCTAAAGGATACAACAGCAAGTGTGTTTAGGGGTGTTAAATAGCTGACCATATTAATGTTTTTGGTTGGATCACTGAACACAACTGTTTGCAGTCTCACTGTTTGAATGTCCACTTTGTATGCTTTGATACTGTGACTTGAGCAACTATCTCTAAGATGGTAATATGTAATCTATTAACTGGTGATTTCTTACTTTTTTTTTTTGTAGTTCTGTATTGCTTGTACCCTTACACCGCTTTGTTTTGTTTTGTTTTTTCTCTTTTTCCTTTTAAATAAAAAAAGCGCTCCCCCCAAAAAAAAAACTTGGTAGACACAGTCTATAATATCTGCTAGTATTCTAATGCATGATGTGTCATTAACTGTTTTCTGTTGCTGGAATTTGTTTCTTTCTTTTTTTTTTTTCTATCAGTATCTCAAGGAAAAGTCTGTACACAAATCTTTTTCACATTTCTGAGACTATCTTTAGGATAGATTTTTAGAGGAGTATAATTGAGTCACAAATAATATTTTCAAAATTCCTAATTCACTGCTTCAAACTATCTTCCTTGGCAAACTCCTTGGCAAAGGAGAGAGCTTGCTTGACAACTCTCCTCTCCACCCTAGGGTTTTGCTAGGTAGCTCAGCATGGATTTGAATTTATGGCAACTTTCCTGCCTCAGTTACCCAAATGCTAGGATTACAGGAGTGAGTCACTACTCCAGGCTAAGCTATTGTATTTTTCACTATATAAATAGAATTGCACAGGTTTCTTTTTGCCTGAATTAACAGCGTCTTATATTCAAGTTGTTATTTCTTATTGTGCAGAAGTTCACTGCAGGACTATACCACAAGCTATTGTATTTTTAACTATATAAATAGAATTGCGCAGGTTTCTTTTTGCCTGAATTAACAGCGTCTTATATTCAAGTTGTTATTTCTTATTGTGCAGAAGTTCCCTGCAGGACTATGCCACAATTTATTTAGTACTAGAGGTTGACCTCTAGTACTAAATAACAGAAGACCTTGCACTTGCCAGACAGAAGCTTGTGCGGCTGAGTTAAATCCTTGGCCCCTGTACCACACTTTTAATTACCCATTCAACTACTCATGGACAGTTGGGTTACCAGTGTTTGGTTATTATGAATAGGGACATGCTTTTGATGTGTCTGTGCCCAAATTCATTTTGGAGTGTAATTTCTGGGTCAAGGGGTTTAGCAGACACTGTGAAATGGGTTTTCCAAAGTGGTTGTACTATGAGGCTGTCATCCTAACCTGTATGCCTGACTTAAGAAAGATGATAAACCGAATGTACCACTGGCATTGGATGTGAGAATCGTAATTGTGCGCATGACTTTGCCACCTGCTTCATTATTTAGTTGAAAACATTTAACAAGCTGGCACCATCTGACTCTTGGTGGACTTAACCACTTTACACTCGAACCACTGACTTCAGGAACAAACGGTGTATCCTAGTTTTGTAAAACTGAGTGTTTCTGAGCGTACTCGGGGTAGTTAATAACGTAAACATCAAGACTGCAAACGATCCCGCCACAATCTTTCTCCCAAAGCTGCTCAGCAGCCTCCCAGCGGAACAAAAGGCGCGCGCTGAAAAGTCGCGTGGGTAGCCTGCCTAGCCTAGCGCCTCACCTATGCACATGCGCAGATGGAACACTACAAAGGCCCGCGGCCCTGGCGCGCGTGACGCAGAAGCGTACGCTAGTACGTGACGTCGCAAGGACGTACGCTCTGGAGCTCACAAGGGAAGATGGCGGCTGTACCTTTGGAGGAGAGCGACTGAAAAGGGAGGAGGAAGGAGGCCAGGCAGGGAAACACTGCCAACTGTGAAGACGAACGCTTCGCTCGACATTAGGAGGTCTGCTCAACGCCAGCGGGTGAGTGAGGCGCAGGCGCGGGACCACTCGCCTGCGGCCGACGGCGGCTCTCCGCCATTTTCAGGCTTGGCCGTTGCGCGCTTTGGGGACTGGAGGGGCGCTGGGAAACAGGTCGCAGGAACCCGGAGTACGGATCCGGGAGGGCTGGTTGACGCAGGTTCGAGCTTTAGAAGAGAGGGCTGGAGGCTGAGGCCAATTCTGGAAGGAAGGCCTGGTGGAACTAAGGCCATGACTAGGGTCGGCGGCGGCGAGGAGACGTAGGTGAGGCGGGCCACGGATTCGATGGAAGTTTGCGGGAGGAAGCGCGTTGAAACTGATTTGGGGCGGGCGTGGAAGGTTGGCCGAGAGTTGGATAGAGTGTGAATTTGAGTTGTCACAGGGGTCGCGAGAAGTTCATGTGAAGTCTGTGAAACAGTTGAAGCGTTATAGTCCTAGTATTTCATAGTTCGAAAGGTATATTTGTTACAGGGCGAAAGGGCACCGCTTGACAGGCAAAACTCCGCTTCTTTGGAATATTTAGTGCTTCTTAGAAATAATTACTCATGAGTCTCTTATTTCCGATTATGAGTCGGCTCCTGGAGGGTAGATACTTAGCATCTTAGAAAGCACCGCCGCTTTGTTTTGAGCCGCTTTCCGATTGTTTCCCAGGATGCCCCCCCCCCCAAACTCCCATTGGGGTTGTGTGCCACCGGCCCGCCCGACATTGCAGTTTTAAAGAAAAGTTGATGCCTCGTTCTAACCCCTGTGGTTAATAGCCCTGACCGAGTAAGAGAAGACAGGTGACTGCGAATTCCGTAGTTGGATCTGTTTAAATCAAACAGACCGAAACCTTGTATAGAAAACCTGTCAAGAATGTTTTAAATTGTTTCCTTTTCTTTTTTTTTTTTTTTTTAATCGGTACCGGGGATCGAACTCACGAACGCCTGCTTGCAAGGCAGGTGCTTATGCCGCTGAGCTAAATCCCTAGCCCCAAAAATGTTTTAAATTGTTTCTACAGACGACATTAACTGTTAAAGAATTTGAGAAGACGGCATATGAATAAAAAGCCTACACTAAAAGGCAAACCTTTGGGAGCACTTATAAGTGCACTCTGGAGATAGAATGAACGTGGTACAGTATTTTTCCCTGTGAACGTGGTGCAATGGTAGATCTACTTCAAACAAAATTTATAGTGTGTGTTAAAGTTTGTTAAACCGGGGATGGCGCACCCCTATAATCCCAGCAAGTTGAGATAGAAGGATGGTCAGGAGGTCGAGCCCAGCCTGGGCTACATCCTGAGACCCTGTCTCAAAAAAGAAAAAAACTAGAGAAGAAAAAAGTGGTAATTGTTCCATTGGTGGCATTTTTCTTAATTGCATTTTACACACATCTTTTATTACCGTAGGATACTTTTGAATTTTCTAGTTGGTCTCCTTGCCCTGTGTACATTTTGAGTTCCGGGTTAGGATTTGTTTTGTTTTTGTGCTTGCCAAGCAGATGCTGCGCTGCTGAGCCATTTCCCTGACCCCATGCTAGGATTTGAAGATCCACATTTAACCTATTTTTTTTTGTCTTTTTCTTTTTTACCGGTACCAGGAGTCGAACTCTGGACCACACACTTGCAAGGCAGGTGCTTATGCCGCTGAGCTAAATCCCCAGCCCCTAACCTATTTTCTAGAAACTCGGGAAAATTTTTATTTCTTGTCCTGGGAAGAATTTTGGTCTTATAAAGGTCTTATGTTAGGGGGAAAAACAATCGTGTGTGAAGCTGATGACTTAATTTTTTTGTTGAAAAACACTAAATGACTAGTTTTGTTGTTACAGTTTTATCTTGACCTAAACGTTTAATTTTTTTTTTAAAGCCAGTCAAATTTAGCAGTGGGGGGGGTATAAACGTTTAATCTTTTTTTTTGTCTTTGAGGCCATCCTCATGCCTTAGACCCCGAGAGCTGGGATCACAGGTGTGTGCCATTACAACCAGTTTAAACCTCTATCATTAGTGGGAATTTTTCACTTATGAATGTATTTATGTGACCCCCTTCCCCAGCAAAAACTTTGAAATTTTACAGGTATTTTTAGGGAAAGTAGTATTAGTTGGAGCTCTCTGTTTAGAAATCTTTATTATTAGAGTGTGTCTAATTAAATATTATCAACTGATAAATTGTTATTTAAGAATGGATTCCAAACAGTCCTAGTTTTCTCCAAAATATTCTAAGAATTTTTTTTATTTTTGTGGGTTTTTTTCCAGTTTGCTTTTATCTTAAAGGTAGGGTCTCAATGTGTAGCTCAGATTGGGCTCAAACTCACTGTGATCTGCCTGCCTCAGCCTGCCGAGTGCTGGGATTATAGTAGTTTACTGCCACACTCAGTTTAGAATTTGTTTTGAAATGCCGTAAGAAATGTTAATTTCATTGTGTTGTAATGTGCAAGTGTTTTTGTTGCTGTATTGTGGTATGACAAGTTGCCTGCCTATAGTTTTGGTTATTTATGTATTTATTTATTAGTTTGGGGGGGGTCACCCTCCCCCCCCCCCCCCCGACATTTCACTATGTCACCCAGGCTGGTATGGAATTTTTTTTTTGTATTTTTACGGGTACTAGGGATTAAACTCAGGACCACAGGCTTGCAAGGCAGGCGCTTATGCCACTGAGCTAAATCCCCAGCCCCTGCTGGTATGGAATTTGAAATGCACCTACTTGAGTCTCCTAAGTGCTGGGAATGCATTTATGTGCTACCATACCTGGCTAGACCAAATGTTAGTACTTACAGTATAGTATTTTGTCTTCATCTTTTATGAGATATGTAGGGCCTCATGCTGTTGGGCTAGTACTTTACTACTGAGCCACCTGCTTAGCATTTTTTTTTTTCATGATGGAACCTTGCTAAATTGCCAGGCTGGTCTCATTATAATCCTACCTCAGCCTCCGGAATATCTGGGAGTAAGGTGTGTGTTACTGTGGTTCAGGTTTAAAACTTTTTTCTTTTTTGGTACCGGGGACCAACTAAACCTATTGTATTTGAAAACTTTTTCTTTGGTAATCTTCCTCTCCTCATTATAGACCATCTATAGTAGTAGTACTATTCACAGAGCAAGCTTCTTGGTTCACTTTACCTCCTTCCCTCCCTCTCTTCCTTTGTTTCTGTACCAGGAATCAAACTCAGGACCTCATGCTTGCCAGGCAGGTTCTTTGGCACTTTGGACAACTTGAAGCACATGATTCTCTTTCTGGTTCTTGAACATTTTAGTAATTTTTTGGTAGAGCAGTTAACTTCATTAAGTTTGTGTTGCACTTTATTTTCATAAATTGAATGTTTATAAATCCTTAGCACTGGTAATAATGGAGAGAATCATGAGTTTCAGTAGCAGACTCACTTAGGTTTAAATTCAGACTTAATAAACTAGCTCTTTTTTTTTTTTTTTTTTAAACTAGCTCTTTTTTGTGCCAGGAATTAAATCTAGAACCTCTGTATGTTAAGTGCATGGATCTCCGTTGAGCAACACTCCTAGCCCTAAAATAGGATTTTTTGTATTGGGTAAGTTAAATTCTCTTGAGCTTCAGTTAGGCAGGCTGGCCATCTTTCTTTTCTCCTCTTCCTCCTCTTCTCTTTTCTCCTCTTCCTCTCATCTGTTTGTTCATTTGTGATTTTTTTTTTTTTTGAGATGGTCTCACTGTGCAGTTCAGGCTGGCCTTGAATTCGCTGTATATCCCAGGCTGACCACAAACTCATGATAATCTTCCTGCCTAAGCCTCCCAAGTGGCTGGGATTACAGATGTGCACCCCATGCCTGGTTAGTTAGGGACCCCCCCCCCCCCAAGGATGGAACTCACCATCTCACAGGCCAGGCAGGTGCTTATGCCACTGAGCTAAATCCCCGGCCCAGTTAGGATACTTTTAAGGAGCAGTTTTTTGTTGAGATATTCTGGTTGCATTTCAATTTTGTTTGTTATGAGAAATTTCAGGTATGTAGAAAATTTACAAGTAGTACAATTAACATGCAAATATCTTGTGTTTGAAATTAACATTTAGCCATTTTTCTTTAACTGCATACTACCTCACCGACATTTGAAAACAAATTGTAGAAATTCTGTATTTTCCTTTAATGCCTCAAGATACATTCTTGAAATATTGCTATTCTTTTCTTATTAGTTCTATACATTTTTCTTTGAAATTATGTTCTAGCTTGTAATACCTTTGTTTTGACTAAGGCTGTCCCCGTTAAATCTTTTTTTCTCCCCAGCACTGAGGATTGAACCTAAGATGTTTGCACTGAACTACATCCTCAGTATTTTTTACATTTTTTTTTTATTTTGAGATAAAGTATCTCTTAAGTTGCCAAGTTGCCCAGGCTAGGCTTGAATTTTCAGACCTGAGTTATCCTGCCACAGTGCTCCTATTACAGCATGTGCCACCTTGCCTGGCTGCATTGTCTTTTGTTCTTTTTTCAGTTGCAGCCATTGAACCAGGGACCTCACACATGGTAAACATGCAGTGTACCACTGAACTCCAGTGTCTTGCCTCCTAGCATCATTCTTTTTTGTTTTTTAACAGTACTGGGGATCGAACTCATGACTATGTTTGCAAGGCAGGCACTTAATACCACTGAGCTAAATCCCCAGCCCCAGCATCATTTATTTATTTATTTATTTATTATTTATTTATGGTTTTTTTTTTTTTTTTTTTTTTGGTACTGGGGATCGAACTTGTGACCTTGTGCTTGCCAGGCAGGCACTTGTACCACTGAGCTAAATCCCCAGACCCCCATCATTTTTTAAAAAGAATGTTCCAAATAACCTGATGAGGCTGCCATGTCTGTAGTTCCAGCCACTCAGAATCACTTGAGTCCAGGATTTCCAGGCCAGCCTGGGCAATATACTGTAGTGTGACCCTATCTCTAACTGGAAAGTTCCACATTTTAGGCTTTTCTTTTGCTCCTCCTTCTCTTCTGCCTCCCCTTTTTTTGAGACAGTATCTTGCTTTGTAGTGTGGGCTGGCCTTGAACTTGCTATATGGCCCATGCT